TCAGCAAATACTGGCAAATTCAAACTAATGAACTTAGAGTTTATCATCTTAACATTTTCTTTCACGCCATAAAAACACATCAGACCAATTTTATACAGACCATAATCATTACAAATACATAGCTGAGGGTCCATAAATGGAAGGGGAAAAAAAGCCACCCATGATTTGCAGGTTTAAAAAAAGAAGAAAAAGTGCAGTAAGGTATACTGTAAGCCTTCTGTGGAAAATATACTGCAGGTCTCTGTGAACAAAGGTCAGGCCTGTGAGGGTCACAACCTCAGCGGAGCAATCAGCCCTGCAACCGACCTACATTTTTCCTGCACCTGGTGTGGTCTATCATACATATATATTTCTCCTTCAATGTGGTCTTCCTATCATATTAATCAGATTAATAGAGCCACTCTTTAGGGAACGACAGCTGCCTGTCAATATCAGCTAAAAAAAACAAAAAACACAGGCGTAAAAAATGAAGGAAGCCTCAAGGTGAACCGACAAAGCTTAGAAATTCAAACCAAAGACCAAAACAGAAATGGAATTGGGAAGAGAAGAAGTAAAGCAAAGGCTTTAATCCGAATGTTTTCTACTTGATGTTTACAATAACATTCAGCTCCTATTGCTGATATTTATTGACAAATACTAATTTTTCCGCATGAGCATGTTCTCCCATATGTTTTACTGAGCATATAATGCTGCCAAATTTTCCGAACTGCTAATATTAAGTGCATTCATGAGAAGTCTCTGAATGGGTCATTACATTAAACTATCTCTCATAATATGCATCCCAGAGCCCCCGGGCTGCAGACACACAGAGAGGGAGGTCTAATGGTCTGCTGTATTACTGGGTTAATTGCCATGTCCTAGTCTCCGTTGGATTGTGAGTACGGCTTTTTAGTTTAATTGTGAACCATCCTGTCCTGTAAACCCTGACACCAAGGGCCCGGCACTAGTGCATGCTGGGAGTATTAAGTGGCGGAGACGGTCTTTATGATGCACTTGGGGAAGCTGATCGCTCCTGAGTGAACCCAGTTGGTAACAGCCTGCCATCTGCTGGCAAGATAAGAGAACTAATATAAAACACATTGCTTTAGAAGTACATGCAGCCTTCCAGTCTGTTAAAGAGAGTTAAATTCAGAATTCAAAATGTGAATTAAAAAAAGTAGTAAAATAGTTTTTTTTCTCAGCAATTACAAGCTACAATTAAACAATATTTTAACTTGTTAGCGTATCACATGTGAGAGAATATGCTGAAATTTTAGAAGACCTTTATTTGTAGTCCTTCTTTTTCTCTCTCTCTCTCTGAGTGCACAGGAAATGTACCTGAGTGGCTCAACCTTTTTAGTGCTGCCTGCATTAGAGCTCAGCAGGTACCACTCCATCGACGCATGAAGGCAAACCAGCTCACACTTACATAAAAGGTGCACAAAAAAACTGGACACGATTAAGAAATATTTTGGCTGCACACCGTTAATATTCATAATCGTTGTATTAAATATGCGATTTAGTGAGTGAGTTGCGTTCCCGAGATGGCTAAGGGATAAGGGGAGTAACAATAAAATAAAAGTCAGGAAAAAGAAGGAGGAACTAGGCCTTCTGTAAGTTTAAGCACTTTTAAAAAGAGATAGACACAGTCATTATGACAGTAAAGTCACAAATAATATGACAACAGAAATAACAAAGCCTAGAGGGTGGATTTTTAAAACGTTTTTTATTTTTTATTTAATCCAAGTCATGTGAAAACACAGCCCAGTAACTGATTATTTGGTTTTCATTTTGCAGGATAAATTATTTGGTTGGTATCAAAAACCTTTGAATAGCCTAAATAAGCCAAAAGCCTCACGTAGGCTACATCAAATCAGTTTGTTTGAAAAGGAGACAGATAAATTGGATGCATTGTATTATAAGATGCATGAATATTAAGTCAGTTGTGCTGAAAAAAGTGAGATTAAGAGTATAATTTTGCCGTCTGTTCTCACCATGTGCTACTTGTTATAATGCTGCCATCTAGAGGTAAATAGTTGTGTGGCAGAATGGGGTATTCCGGTGTATTCCCCTCACATGCTGTTCGTTGTATCGTTTCTATAGTTCACTTGAATATTAAAATTAATACTTTATTGTTCACTTGGGCCACACACTTGGACAAAAAACTGACCCGGTAAATGCAGCCACTAGTCCATTCATGTTGGACTAGTCCATCTGGTTAGGTGTTAAAGGGTCCTGACGTGTACACAGGTGAACTAATTAACGGCAGGTGCATTGATACTGAACAGTCAACCCGACCCCTTTTAAATGGTTCCGTCCTTGTGCTGTCAGGGGCTAGGCGGGAAATTATCAAATTGAATCAATGATAGTGATGGTAAACTTTGAAAGGCTGTCGAAATGAAGAGGAGGAGGAAACCAGAGATAAACGCAGGCAGAGGACGGGCATGACAAAACATCCAGCAGGTAACGTTGTTAAACCTATACAGTGTTGACGCAGCTCAGGCGGCCTCTGGTGGTCTGGAGCGGTAATGCCTTATTGATGCTCTGTTGGTTTTGGTGGAGTGCATCCTATCTATGGGCCTACCTAAGCTGTGGGCTACTGTAGGTGCTGTTCAGTGAGATTATGTGTGTTGTTCATTTGTTTCTAGTGATTGTGCTGCTTAATTTGGCTTTGGTTGTTCCTGCAGTTTACTGAAAATCCTTTAGAGATGCCGATAAATGTTAGTCTATGTGGGTGTGTGTTTACTGCGTGTTGCCTTGTACTCTTGAGGTTTGGGGGATTTAGATTGATTTGGACATAAGGTCAAATGGAATAGGGTTTATTTTATCTGCTGATGATTGAAACATAAATGCTTGTTTTGCCAAGTAAAAGCTCTGAAACCATATAATCAAAATTATATAGTTCATCTCCTTAGTGGGCATCAAACAGGAATTTGACATCAGTTTAAGATGTATGTTATCACAAGGTCATACATTTTAACATTTATACATTAAATAAGCCTTCATAGGAACCATCAATAATGTACTCGGCCCACTGGAACATTAAGTAAAACAGTGTGTCGTCATCTCTGTCTCCGAAACCTTGTATGCCGACCCAAAAATTGATCACATATGTTCATTCAACATGGACACTACGTGTTTTACTTCAATTTAACATTATCAATTCTATTTTGACTGCAAGCAAACTTTACAAAAAGTTGCCAGCTTCGTCTTTGTTCCCATGATGAGACTCTGATGCTGCAGAAAGTTTGCTTTTATTTGCGTGTTTAAGTAAGCCATCGGGTGACATTAAAAATATAAAATAAGACCCTGAAAACAAGCAGCTAAATGGAATTCAGCGATCCTTAATTTGATCATTTAAACCTGTTTTTTACCCAACTGTAACATTTTTGTCTCATGAATGCATTGCGAATCGATTAAGTCAGAGAAATCCAACCTTTGTTCTGGAGTCACAGAAAGAAAAAAAAAAAAGAAACTCTTTCAGAAACTAACATGAATTTTAATAGTTATAATTCATAAATGTCTCTTTTATGATATATGCTCTACATTTTCTCTTTTAAAATCTAAAAGGAATAAACTTACACATGTGTTGTTACAAAAATACCTTTGTATTATCCTTTAAGTGTTTTATTGTCAACCTCAGAGCACCACCTGAGATCTGTTGCCCCCACGTAAGCCCCAAGATCTTAATATTAAGCTCACCATCGACCCAACACTTACATGTACCTGTAAATAGGTAATTCATGCTATATAAGCCACTACCTTCATTGCATATACTTAATGAGGTAATGCTTTTTTAGTTCAAAGTTATAAATGACACGCATACATTAATAAAATGAGTTGTTGAGGAGTCAGTTCTTTAAACAACAATTGAATTTTATTATTAATCCGAGGGTTATATATATATGTGTATGAAGGTGATTTGGTTCCTGTTGTGCTGCCACTGTGATGCTAAAAGAAACAAATGTTGGGGTATAAAGCATATGCACAAAGGTATATGAGACTTACTCACTAATTGAATCAGTCAGATGCACAGCAGCCATGTGACCGGAAGTAAAAACCCATCTGTTAAATACCAGTTTTGTATTTTGCACCTGTTCAGTTGTTGATTTGAAGGCCAGCTCAGGAAAGGTCTTGTGTTGAACTTTACAGCCAGTATCAGTAAATGATGAGCTGTCTGTGTGTTAGCGTTGGGTTTTTAAATCACGGCCTGCACTTGCTGAAGTGCAACCACATTTGAAACACAAATGAATAACTGCTTCTTCTTTGAGGCAGACATGACAGTTTGACATGAAAAGAAAGTTGTGCATAGCTGATGAGTACCATATGAAAACATGTTTCTGTAAAATCATCCTCGGCTTAATGCAGATGGAATCAAAACTCCAACTCGTAGGAAAATGTCTACATTATGGATAAGACTGAGCACAGCGTGGAGTTTTAATTATGTCAAGCCTGGAAATACAAAATCATATTTCAACAAAAGATTCCGTTTTGAATCGCAATTCACAAGTGATTTCTCAGGTTATAGTCAGTCGTGAGGCACTCATATTGGACAGGCAGTTTATTTACAAAGAGCAGGCCCATACACACAAAGAAAACAAAAATAAAAAGGGAAACTTTCCAAAGATTGGTAAAGGTTTATGTCTCTAACAGATCTCAACAGTCAAAGCATATATTCCCATCAGTCCCTATTTGCTACAGAAGTAGGGCTTCAAAAAATACTGGAAAAAAAAAAACATACAATCACCAACGGTCATCAGCAATTTACTTTATAAAAATATCACCATGGTGATCCACAGATTCACAGGTTAGACCGTGGAAAGAAAGACATATGTACAGATATCCACACAAAGGGGGTAAAAGGAGGGGGAAAAATATTTGAAAACCAAAAAAGTGGGAGGTAAAGATGAGCAGTGCAGAGAGAGTCCCAAAAGGCAAAGCTTGAGCAATTCTTGTTTTAAGGTCTCTAAACGGACACCTCTTTATCATTTCCATTTGTCCTGTAAAAACCAGACACATATAATCAGTTTGATGTTGTATGAACGTACAGACATACATTAAAACAAACATTATCATTTTCTAAACATAAATATAATTTATCTTTGATAAGATCGTTCATTCATTTCACTCATAGTAAATTACCTCTTTGGGGTTAGATAGAAAACGCATCTGAAAAATACTGTTTATCAGTCATGATTGCACATTTTAACCTGAGATAAGGAAACATACAGCACAGTGCTATAATTAGTGTTGCTGTCAAGACCACTCTAGTCGAGACCGAGACAAGACCAAAAATATCACTGAAAAATCATCAACTTGTGTGCATTGGGCGTGTCACTCACTTAGATCGTAACACTGGGAAGGTTGAGGCCATAACCCCGGGGGATACAAATCAGACTACATATAATTTGAAGTTATTTGTTCTTTTATAAAGCACTGTTTTCAATCAGTGGGGGTCTTGACCGGTCTTGATTTAAAATCCGGAGTCAGACCAGTCCCAGTCCGAGATTCAGAGAAGAGACCGAGACCTTCAAAAAGTGGTCTGGAGACCGGTCTGGAGACCGGTCTTGAGACCACGGCCGATGTCGAGTACTACAACAATAGCTATAATAACCAATTGTTAAGAATATTGATAAGTGGTGCTACAACATGCTTTAAAGACATCTTTACTCTAATGACAGAACATTGTTAGTATGCATGTGACATAGATGAGACAATTAGATACAGCTGTGATGTTACAAATGATAGACATCAACAAGATGATCAAAATGTTGAACGATGCACAAGGAAAGGGAGAAAAAACATGGAATATGTAACTTAAAGCTTCTTAGGCTTAAAACTAATCTGTCATAGTTTTTTTTAAGAAAAGATTTTGAAATGTGAAAGCTATGGAGAAGGACTTCATAATAAATAGCATTTCCATGGTTATCCCAATATCAGTATTTAGAAAAAGCACATAGTTTTAGTGGGAATTAACTGCAATAAAAGATAAATGTTTTTTTTAGGTTGGTAATAAATGTGTCTCACTCAGCATGAGTAACTTTTAACTATTGGAGTGCGGTCTGGGTGAAATGACTATGCTTTCACAATCGCATGATTTTAATGCATTTAGATTAAATTCAAGCTAGATAATTATTATTCAGATTCTGGAGGGACATTTTGGAAACACAGGTATTGTGTCAGACATGTAAAACAGAAGCTAGACATACAATAGAAACTGTGACTTTGAGCTAATATGCACTTTTCAAATTTGATTTTCTTTTTGCATATCAATATCCCAATATTGAACAATGTAATCGAACATTGCATTTTTTTTCTCATTGTGTGCAGGCCTTATGGAGAGGAATTAGAAGAAGGTGCAGAATTATTTGGTAATTTTTTAAACTACCTGGGGCCAATGAAATCTCTGTATATCAGGTGTGAAATTGGGAGAGGTGGTGAGTCTTTATGGTGGACTGGGCTGATGGGGGAGAGTCAGATGTGCTCTAAGCATCAGAACATAATCTCACCTTATTGTTGTTCAGTAGTGCATCAAAGTGGGACTGACAGGGTTTAATTTCTAGAATTGGACTGCCAATGCTTAAGGGGCAGGAAAATAAACGATGGGATGATTCAGTCACAAATGACACCAGTTCATGAAAAGAAGAAATAATAGGAACTTATTTCTGATATATTGACTATTCACTTTGGCTATAGTTGCAGATATATTGTTTTAAGGTCAAAGGAATTTGCACTTTTAAAATAAAATAAATGATTTTGCACAGTTTGTGTGATTGCAGCTTACAGCTTGACAGACATAGGTGAGAGATGACCACAATGGGAAAGTTCTGCCCATCAAACAGATCCCTCTTAGTCCTCATGGTGGATGAATTATGGATATTCAGGGTGCAAAATTATATCTTACATCATAATCATGTGAGGGAAAGTGTCCTTTCGTCATAGTTTTTTATGAGCAACATCATCAGTTAGGCCTTTAAGAGCTCTTACTGATGACTGGTGATGAAAGATGAGGCAGAGGGTGCCCTCTGCTGGTGAAAGATGAGATGACGACATGATGACAGCCAGATGGGAAAGGATCAGGACAGCACACTGGTGTTCTGTGAATCCACGTCTTGCATGCTCATGACATCTCTACTTACTCCGCTCTCGTAAATAGGGTTATCGAAAGCCGACTCTTCTGTCATGTTGTCGTACGGTGGTGAAGATGTTGGCATTCTGATAGACTTTCCTTGGAGTCTGAGTAAAGAAGGGAGAAGCAGGAAAATCATGCAAATGCTCGTTTGATTTCAACCATTTGAAATGAACAAAGATTTTAGTTTATTACGTACTTTGCAAAGTAGACATAAATACTGAGGACAACCACCAAGACGATTGCTGTTGGGATGAAAACTGCAAGGGCGATGTTGGTTCCCTCCATACCGTAATCCATGTTAACAACTACAATGAAATAGAATAAGAAGGTAATACATACAGTGTCAAATGCACAAAAAGAAGGGCTGCCCCTTTAAAGACGCTTAGAATCATCTGAGAGTGGTCTGGTAGTACTGACCACTGACTATCTGCACTTTTGTCTGCACAGGGTATTACAGAAGTAGCTGCATAGCAGGTCTCAAAGATTCCAAAAATAAGTTGTTCTGTGATACTTCAAATAAACAGATCTAATACTTAATACTGGTAAAAGCAGCTTTACGTTGGACATCAGAGATTATGTTGGCTGTTCTGTCCAATCTATTCTGTTTAATGTGTATTTGAGCTTTCTTGTCTGTGCTGCTGTAACGTCCGAATTTCCCCTCTGGGGATCAATAAAGTACTATCCTATCCTATCCTATCCTATCCTATGCCATGCACTCCAGAGCTGATCTGGTCAATGTTAATGACATCAATGATGCACAGAGATGCAGTGGGCTCTCTGAAGATGTAGTTACCTTGGATTTAGGTTAGGGTCTTTCAGTGTTTGTAGGTTGTGGTGCATTTACTGGGGGTTAAGTTGTCTGCAGAGCTGTTGCATCTCAAGGTCAAATGAACAAGGTTATTACCCCCTCTCCAATTCATATTCACTTTCAAAATCAGTGTTTCTTAATTGAGGACAACTCCTTCCTCCAGTTAAATGATATGGACAAAGATGCTGACAACATGACCTGAAACATTAAGAAAGTGTTCAGCTGAATAATTTGTTTATGTCTGGCTGGCAGTGGTGGGTCTTCTTAAAAACCCATAATTTTAACAGTAGAATAAGCTGTAGGCATTGTTGACAGTACACTTTAATTATGTACTGTTGGTCTTTGTGTCCCTTATCTCACTCACGTCCATCATGATGATATCCATGGTAGTTATGTTTTATATGTATTTATGCCTTTGTGCTGTTTGTAGGATGTGTATTGCCTGTTTGGACCTCTGTTGCAAACCAAATTGCCCCTCGTGGTCAATAAAGATTTTCCAAATTCAATCCAATATTAAACAGCCTGATCTGATTTGACAAAAACAAATAAAGTCGGAACAGCCCTTCCAAAAAGAAATGTCAATAAATGAATACTGCAATATTTCAAAACATGACTCACCATCTAGCCTTCGTTCATTCACAGTTGGGTTCGTGGATGCTACAAAGACATGAATGCAGTTTAGTACGTCTATGGACGAGAGATATGCAAAAAGAAGCATGTTGTACGTATTGTACAATGTTTTAGTATTCACATACTGTAACATAATCAATGGTTAACATGTAGTCTAGGTTAACTTTATAATGTGCTCTAAGTTGTATGCACTGGAAAGGTGGCTGCAGCATGTAGGCCTGGTTTACCTCTGCAGGCGGGGGGAGTGCTGTTCCACTGGGATGGGTGTCCGGGGATGCAGTAGATGGTGGCCTCACCCTGTAGCTCGTAGCCCGAGTGGCAGGAGAAGGTCAGTGTCTCTCCTGCTTGGTAAAAGGCCTTTTCTGAGCTCTGCACGCTGGTGGAGGCAGCCCCAGGGTTCCTGCAAGGCTCATACTTTTCAGCTGAGAGATAGGACAATATATAATGTTACAGAAATATAATTTTGTAACTCCTTCAACAGTAGAAACACTGACACTCAATATAAAAACCTTGTAAAAAGACAACAGGCACATGGATCAAGGCCTCCAAAGAAACAGAAGTAGCACAGGCGTAACAGAACTATAACATGGCAAAATAGTCAAGCAGTAAATAACAGTGTATAAATGGGTTAGTGTTGTTGCCTATCTGACTTACGGACACACTTGGGCAGCCTCTCGTTCCACTTGGGTGTTGCTGAATCTCTGTTGTAGCAGGTGAGAAGGCTGCTGCCGGACATGATGTATCCTTTATTACAGATAAACTGCACAGATGACCCAACGGCAAAGCGACTTCCTGTTATCACCTTATGACTGTGCTCCACATTTCCAGGGTCCTGACATGTCATCACTAGTGCATCACAAAAAAAAAAAGAATTTCCATTGGTCATGGTTGTGGAAGGTCATTAATAATTGGTACCTGAATTTCACACAAGTTAAAATAAAAGGAAAATGTTTTTTAAATTACTATTATAACTTTGCAAAACTCAAGGGTTGATTTTTTTTTTTTTTTTTTTTAATGAGGGGCCAATTTTCTTTGTAGCAGGGCCAGTTATTAAACTTGTAGTCAGACTCGGGTGACATCCCTTGAGGCAATAATTATAATTTGTGTCTCTGCAGCCGCAAGTATTTGAATAACTTAAAGGGATACTTCAACCATTTGCATTAAGCTTTGTATCATTAGAAACCTGGTAGTATTTTTGAATGGTCGTGCATCCCGCCCTCATTTTCCCCTGAGATGGGAAATCTTTGTATTTTTAAGTCTGAAAAGGAGCTTCCAGTGATGCAAAATTATGATTTTTGCATCACTGGAAGCTGTTGCGGTTAGTGGGGTGAAACTACAACGCTAGTTCCTCATATTTTCGACCACTGAAGCTACAGACAAATCACAGATCAGTTGGTGGGAACTCACTCCCAGAATCAAAACTTAACATCTGCCATATTGCTTGGAAGCTATGCTAACAGGCTCTATGGAGAAAGCTGATAATAGCGAAAAAATATAAATATAGCGGCGAGACGGCTGCTCGCTGGGAGCCCGGCTGCCGCGAGCCCGGCCGCCACGACACAAGACCGGCCTGTCAGCAGCAACCGTCTCGCAGCAATATTGCTATTGCCGCCGCCGGCCGCTGCCAGCTTGGTAGCCGAGACATGATGCCTGCCTATCGGCGGCGGTGAGGACGAGAAGCCTGGGCCGGCTCGAGCTGGGGCGGACTGGTAGTGTCGGTGCTCTCACTGTTTGCCTATGGACACAGACATAGAGTCTGTTTTAGAGGACCTTAGTGGGAGTGGCCTGTGGTGCATTCTCAGATTTGGTGTCTTTCATCCACATGAGTCAAAAAGACACTTTCTGCCTTTTCACGGCCAAGAAGGCACCAACTTCAAAATGTATTTCACAATTCTACTACATACATGACCCAATATCAATACAGATTAATGTTTCAACGGGTGAAGTATCCCTTTAATACTAATATACAACTTTGTCTTGTCAAGAGCTCCTGAACGCACATCCAGCGCTTCTCTGCCTGGAATAAAATCGCTATGTAGACACGGTGCCTAAGTCAGATTGTAAGATCGAAAAGACTGAACACTTTGTCTGTGTCCTATGGCTCCAATACAAGTTCATGCAACACAATTGCAACCATATGAATGCTTAAGAAGAGGAGGTCTAGGAAAAACACTAGTTTGTAGTATTAGACAATTAAAAATAGGTATGTGTCAGCCAAAAGAGTTGACAGACAATACATGGGCTGGAAAATAGCTGCTTATTAGCATCCAATCAATTGTGACTCAACCGTCTCAAATCTGTGCAACACAGCGCTCTGCGATTAACGACCAACTCCAGCTTCCATACTCGCCATCATTAAATGCTTTTTAAAGTGTTAGGCTTGATTTAACTAAGTCTACTTAGCTAACTGAAAAAAATCTTCAGAGCATATTACATTTTAATTATAAAGTCCCCTTGGAGATATTCAAAGCCCTTCTTAAAGTCCTTGTAACAGAGACATGCAATGGCCATTTTAAGCTGGATTTAGTCTTTGTGCTGGATGTCTTTCTGTCACTTTTTGCTATGTCCAGTTTTTTTTAAATGTCTTTTTTGAAAGAAATCAAATCATAAGGGACTTATTGGTTAAAGATTAACTGAAACTGTATTAGTTAATAAAAAACCACATCAGATTTTTTCCATATTGAAAAGGCCACTTTTTAAAATGATCATCAGTCTATCCACCTTTTATTTGCTTCACATATATCTTATTAACATTGTGTTTTTGCTCTATACAGTTTTTTAATTTTGTTAACTTAGCATGCATTTCATACTCCATATTGTAAAAACAAAAAAATCACTGCTTGGCTTATTTGTTGTGGCCCTTATTACCACGTAATTTATATAAAATGTTATAAAAGTGGTCTAATGATGACTAAGTTGGCTGAACGACAAGTCAGATGCCCTTTTCACGCATGCCTCACTAAAAGTTTCAAAAACAATTTCAGGAAAGCCTGCCAGTGAAATCTCCCTGAGTGGCTCTTTCACACCAGTCTCTCGTAGAGGGTTTTCCCTGGAATTCTTCAGCCCTGAGTATAGTTGTTTTAAACTAAGCAAAAACAGGACATCAGCCTTTCGTATCCTGCTGAGGTTTGGAGCGTTGGTTGTGCACTTCCTCAGAAATGAACACTATGCGTCCACGAGATGCAGTATGCATATAGCTGCTAGGAGCAGTGTAGAGTTTTAGGGTGATCAGACTGGAAATGGCGAAATCGGAGATACCAGAGAGCTGCCTGCTACAACAATGGCGGAAAGTTTAGAAGAAAAGTTAACAGATCGAGTCCGCAAATACCCCCAGTACTCTACTTCGTTGTTTTACGCTATCTGATTTATGTGGTGCTCCCTCTAGAGGAATCCTCCAGTAACATGTGTTGTACATAGGCAGGTATGTGAACATTTACATTCACAACGCAGCAGGTTGTAGGAGATGGATTACAAAGCACCAGAATCTGACACTATTAAGACATTTTTTGTCGTGTCATCTATGCTACATGTCATTAGACATTTTCACAGTTTCAACAGAGAGCGGAAAGATAATTGGTCACACAGTGGAGATAAGCATCATCCCCACCTGCTTATTCTCTGTGAATTTGCTGGCTTAAATTCTGGAAGAAGCATAGTGAAAAATTCTGCTGTCTTCTCTTACACAAGCAGGTCACCCCAAAACATTTCTGGACTTATGTGCTTTAGTGAAAAGGCTTCGATCGATCTCCCTGTGGGATCAAATGCAGAAAATACAAGTTTAACTGCCTCCTCTTACCTTCCTGGCATCTTGGCACATCACCGCTCCATGAGAGGTCCCACTGACACATGAGGATCTCAGAGCCCACAAGCTCGTACCCCGGGTAGCACTGGTAGGTGATGACGGTGCCATGGATGAGATCAGGGTGGGATGTGCTCTTCCAGCCATTTGTGATCTCTGGCAGCTCTGAGCAGGTGTCGTTCCTGGGAACCTCTTTTGGTGTTGAAGTGAGGAGACACAATGAGAAATGGAAAATTAAGACACACAGATATCCCACCTCTTTGAACAAGGAAAGAAAATGTTTAAGCAACACAAACAATTTTGCGTTTCCTTCTCAAACATCATTTAACTTTTATTTTAACTTTGGGATCAAGCCTTTAATAGAACGGTAAGAGGGAATCTTAGAATGAATATGTAACAAAGTCCGCAGGCAAAGCAAAGGCTGCAAAAATGTCTGCTCAGTGGGCACTAAACTGCAGCAGTTTGGGAGGAAAATGTAAATAGCGGCTTGTGATGTTTGCAGGGAGGAACACAGCATGTGGTTTGGCACCAGTCAATCTGTGTCTTTCTAACTGCAGCGTTCATGGCCAAGAACACAAAGCACCAGGCAAAACCAGCTGACGATGAAGTACAGCCTATTATTGTGTTTCAGTGTTTGTTATCCAATCCTGTGCACCTGGGATAAGCCAGAATCAAGACAAATGAGAAGAAAAAAAAAGGCAACGAGAATAGATAGACCTCTTTTTTCTGACTGGTCACCTGCTGGGTTCTGCTGCAAGGAACATTTTTTATTCCATGCTTGTTAATCATGTGTTGTAGTTGCTTATGCTGTACATTTGGAATTCAACACTAAAAATATACACATTTAATTCCCAGAGTTACATTTTTAATACAGATCAGTAGATTGAAGCTTACATAGAATGTAAATTAAATTAAACCCATACCAAAGAAGTGGACCACAAAGCCGTTGTTGTAGCCATAGATGTTAGTGGCAGGATCTGACTGAAACTGAATGGTGACATCAGCCATGGAGGTGTAGAGCTTGAAGTGTGGCCGTGTGCCGCTGTACTGGCCCAAAATGTTCGCTGTCAGGTCATCGCCGTCGTAGAAGGTCAGCAGGTCGTTCTTGCCGATATGGAGACTAGAACAGACGAAAAACAAAAGTGTTAAACTCTCTGCTTAAATGAATGATTTAACTAAAAACAGTTACATAGATATCATAGATTATTATAAGGCAAGTGTTTGCTCAGCATTTGAACAGTTAAATGACTTGTATCTGGAAGAAAAAGCTGATGGCAAAAGGTAATGTCAGCACTACTGGGTAAATATTAATTCTGTTTATATTGGATACATGCAATGTGAAGTAAACACTAAATAATTCATGATGTGTGTGTCTTCGCCCCCCACATTGCGCTCATGAATATGTACTAGAGTGTATAACTGCAAATATATGAGCATAATATACATCTATCCTTCAGGTCTCTTCACCTTTTCAAAGCTGCATTACATGGCTACTCGAGAGTGAGAATTAGGGATGAGATAAGCAAATCAAAACCAATATCAATCGTCTACACTTAGATATAATAAGTACACCATGATGCTCCTGTAAAAATTGAACACAAGGCAGCCGAGACATTTTGTTTTTTTTAACAGAATCTCTTCTGTCATTAACTGTGAGAATGTATTAACCTTTTCTGTTTCGTATATTCATATATTCTTGCCCCTTTTAGAGCATTACTAAAGCTTGACATTTATTCCCACACACAGGGGGGATGGAGCGCGCTACAAAAAGAAAAGGTTCGGCCTAAGAAGTAATAGTCCCCGGCTGGTAGAACAAGCAGGGAGGATGATGAGTATTGCATGTTTGTTCATGGTCATTTTCACATGAACAGAACTTGAAAGTAGAAAAAGCATGACATTATAAATGCACGTCAAACTGGAGGTATAGGAGGAAATGCTTGAGTTGTTATTAATCATTACAGTATGGAGCGTGCAATATCAAGCAATGAAGCAGGTGCACAAAGTACACCGCCGAATGTTTAACGTTATCAAACCTGAAGCATTCCTCTCAGTCAGTGCAAGCTGTGAGTTGCATTCCCTAAAAAGATCATTTCATCATCTCATTATTTAGTTGCAAGAGATATGTTGACCCAACTGTAACTAGCTTTTTTTTGTTTCTGACACATGATGTCATACAGTAGTCCTCTGTAATTCAGCTATGATCCTTTAAAAAGAAGTTTGTACTCGCTTGTGGATAGCTTTGTTATACGTTTACTTGAAATATAATCTCAAAAATGACACATTGGTAGGTTGCATATATGGAAGCCAAAGTTGAACTCTAAGCAATGTCATGATCTGAACATGTGTGTTCTAACAATGGTTGGGAATTTAAAGATACCACAAGGTGATTTATCTCAATGAGGACACACAGCTTCAAAATAGAAACTAACTTCATAGAGAGATCCAACTTTGACCCCCTTAAAAATACTTAAAAATATCTACATCCACTCATTTTTACAAACCCATTTACTCCAAATAGGTAATCATCACTAAGTAGAAAAGTATGCATGTGTGCAAAGCAAACTTATGAACAGGTCGACAGGAGAAGGCAAACATGCATCACAGTCACACATTGGAAGATTAAAAAAACTAAGAGGAAATATTGTTTCTAAATATCAGTTTTTCAAAGATGTCAAAATCCTTATTTGTATTATTCACATAAAAGTTTGAATTAAAAAAAATGTTTTTTTTCAAGGAGCTGAAAAAAAGTATCTTCTGCCATCCCACTACTTTGAACACATTATTAACCCTACGTTTGCTCGTTTGTGTTTGTCAGTTCCTAAAAATATAGATATGTAGATTTGTCTGTCTTGTCCTTTGAAGTACCTTTCTGAACGCTTGCATTTGAGGCTCCCTCTCTTATTTCATTAAGTCTCTGCTTCACCATCAGAGCCATGAGGGTAGGGTTAGGGTCTCTGACAGTAAAGGTTTAATATGCACTAACTAACAACATTACACAGCAGTGGAAGTCTGTGATGTGGCTCCTTTATCTCTGATTGACACATCCTTTTATGATGATAGAAGGAAGCAAATGACCCGAATCTTTTTACCTCTCCTCAATGTCTTATTCACAACCGACCTAAACATTATTTTCACATCACTCCAGAAAAGAAACGCACTGCAGTTTTCTATAAATGAAGTGCACTCAATTCATCTCTGTTCACCAAGGCTGGAAGCAAATCAGTGGACTATTAGCATTCACAAATATGTAATATACTTTCCCCAACGAGGTTTTTATTCACTGATGACTAGTTGAAGCTTGCAGGTCCTTAAAGGTAACATTTTACGGCAACAATAACAAAAGTGGATTCCATTGTGTACTGGAGCTGAAATCTGGACAGAGCAAAATTTCAGCCCTTCCTGATGGAGCCAAATAATAGCTGCCAGCTGCATGAATGAGAGCAGAATGAGGTGCTGAGTGACAAGGTGCTCCCTCTGGTTAGTTGGACAGCCATGGTGACAATTTGCACCTCCATGTTCTCTAACAATCAGCCGCTGTGCATGGAAGTGACAGGAATGACAATTGCAGTTTCCATTTTCAAGCTGCTATGAGAACACTTTATGCATAAATGCATATTATGGAAATGGGGCCTCCTTAAAATAGCACTTGTTAGTGTGCAAAAAGAGGAAAACGAAATAAACCAATAAAGTTTTAAACCCCATTAGTCAATTCAATGCATACTCAATGGATATGATTCACTCTACAAACACTATAGGTGACTGCTAGCAATAAAAAAAAATACAATGGTGTTTTTTACTAGCAGAAGGAGAAGTAAAGGCACAGAAGCTGTCACAATAAAACGTTTGTGTCCATCAGTGAAGTCCACACAGGAACCAAATTGTCTGCATCTTTTTCTATCTTCACATCTCACACTTCACTCCTGTTCAATGCTCTATCCTCCACTTGCTGCTCATGTCAACAACACTATCCACCTTATCATGGCACTGTATTTCACCTCCTTATCTCCTCCCAAAGCTCTCATTGCATTCAGACCCATCTTGAAAGAAGGATGTGTTACTGTCAGTTGGCAGTCGTACAGCGTGATTACCCCCAGTCGCTTCAAACCGTAACAAAATAACAAGTGCTTTCTTTATTACAGTGTACCATCAAAGTTTTGTGCTTGGCGTTACAATCTGCTTTATGTCCTTCTGTCTTTATTCATAACAAAGAGGTGGGAAAAATCAGGTAGAATACTTTATTACTGTACTAAATCTCAAATATCTGTACTAGAAACTCTATAGTCAAGGCTCATACACATTTCATGCGTCTGGCAGGAATAATAGGTTATTTTTACTTAATATCATTATGGAGTGCTTTCCCAAATGAAATGGACAAAAACATCTTATAAAGGTAAATTCCAAAGTGTGTCCAAAGTTTATGTTCTTTGTTTTGAGTAAATGTTTTTATTTTATTTAATTTAAAGTAAGATTTAAGTTTAACAGATTCCCAAATATCATCAGAGGCTCAGTTAGCTTAACACAAAAGCATCTGGTTAATAACGTCTTAAACCGATTGATTGGCCAGCCGATAATATCGGCCAATAATAGCATATCCAGTGACTATCAGTATCGGCTAATTTTAGCGCAGATATGAGCCAATATTACTAGATTTATTCACCAGTCAAATAACAATTCATTAGAGTTTTATTGTAATACACTAGCAGTTCTCTGTCACCAGCAGAGTGCGCTGTATAGATTACAACAAGCTTTATCACTCTCCAGAGTATCAAGTGATGATGCATGTACATGCACAGTTGCATCAACTTCGTCCAATTGAGTGACCATCATCTTGTCTTTATCTTTTCCACAAGTGTTGGTCTGATGTTAGACAAGGCACAAGGCCAACAGTGCATTTATTAAAACATCAGATTTATACGACGGTAATCTCAAATCACATGCTTTTCCACTTGACTTAACTAACCTTTCCTCCCATCTGGGTTCCTGTCCTAAATATTCCAGCTGTCTCTGTTACTCATCAAGCAGTCAACCTTGGTTTTAAATGTTCCTACTGACCTCATCCATTAATTCTCTTGTCTGATTCAAGTGTCCTGGTGACAACAAAGACAAATGCCAAACGCACAGAGCCGAATCAGTGCAGGCTTACGCAGGACTCTGTGGTGAGGCACTGCAGGTCGCTCAGCTGTCATCTCTGTAGCAACTTGGCAAACACTCCACCCAAATGTCACCCCACCTGGCTTCTTTTTTTAATGGCTTCCCCTCCAGCCCTGTGTCGCAAACTTAGTCTCAAATGAAATATGTGCACCCTGTCTCCTGTGAGTCCCTTAGTTTGTCCTTTATATTTAACAGCATCAGTTACATCGCTCTGATTCCTAAAAGATATCTGAGTTTAGACTTCTTTTCTTAGTTCTCTTAATAATTATGGTTGTCAAAGCAAATTATGTTGAAACTGATTCTGGTGACAGAATCTATACTGCTATATGTTGCTATAAGAGCACAAACAATTGTGGTTGCTTGATACTTCACCGTATGAATACATTTGCTGAAGCAGGTTCCCCCCAAATAATAATCACTTAAATCCCTTAACTTATTCAAAATCCTCAGTAATACATTTTAGACTATGTCATCATGGCAATGGCAATCCCTTTATGACAGCATTTTCTTGTGAATTAATTCATGTATTTATTGTTCATATTTAATCTGTGTTTTCACTGTCCAAAAATCCACCAGATAAAGAAATGTCAGGCTATCCAAACTGCTTAAGTGTTGTCCTGGTTTGAGATTGGACAGACATTGGATGACTGACTTAAAGTCAATTAGAAATAATACTCAAAGTGGTTTGAGAATTGTGATGATGTGAGACCGGATTTACCGTGATGGATGCTCACAGGAAAATAAGCAGATGTGCAAAATGTAAGACACTTAAGGCATTACTGCTTTGGAGTTGTCTTACTTGATTAAATGTTTCTTCCATCAACATGTCCTGGGTGTTGGGGGACTGTTTGTAAAAGGACTTTCAGAGAGTTTCTGCAAACTCCTCTGCATACTGATGGGACCAGCTCTGTTCTGCAGATGAGGGGATGACAGCTGTGTTCTGTGCAAGTCTCTGGGCATTTTGTCACCTTCACTGACCTGTCAAGTACAAGAAACCCTGTAAAAAAAAACGCAGTAACTCTAATGGAATGGAAATTAAGCTCAGTGTCAAGCTTTCAAAAGGCAACCTACTATATCTTTTCAGAGACAGATTTGACATTTAAACTGTCCTGCTCTCTTTTTCTTTTGGAATCAAAATAACCGTTTTTAGCTACACAGCACCAGCAAAAGTGTAGATGGCATGTAATGTTTTAAATCTCCACTAGAGGACTCAGTGTGCCCTATCATTAAAGCCTCTGACCTTGCTAAGTAAAATGACACAAACATGAATACTGCTGTAAAACAGATACAGAAGACTCTGAATGCTAACATTCACATGAGGACCATGTTGTGTTCCACAGGTGGGGATATCAGCTGCAACCTCTTGTTTCCTGCTCTTGCTCGAGCCGTGCTCCATGCTAATTAGCAAAGGGCCAGCCCTCCTGTTTGGCCTAAATTAATTAATCAGTCCTCATTATGCACACTGCTCCTCTGTAATTGCCAGCACAGGCACGGCGATGAATGATAATACAGAAAACATTCTCATTAATGTGGAAAAGTGTGTGCCCAACCCTTCTAATGAGGCGGCTCTCATCCAGAAGAGCCTTTTGTCACTTCAACATGCGCGCAAACAAACAAACATTCACACAAATTACATGTTGACCGAGCCTTTGGGAGCAGTTTTCTCAGGGTGATGAGACAAGACATGAGGGTAATAGCAAGGGGTCTGCGGGGATCAGACAAGCTGTTGGTCTCATACTGCCGTGAAGGCCACGCATGACCAACCTTGATATAAACCAACGCTGGCTGCAGCACCATTAATTTGCAGCGAGAATCCTCATGTGGCTGGGATTAAAACAAACTTAAGGCTGGTTCAATTTAAAAAAAAGGAATCTCTGAATGAAAATCAGTTTACCTCAAATCAAACTTGTTTACTTCTGCAGAGGGAAAGAAATCCTCTCTGATCTTTTTTACCCTAGGTGCACTGGTTGACTTACAGCATCAGACATTAATCACTGAGACTTAATCTCCAGCTAAAGAACAGAGAGGCAAGCAGGATCACACAAACCCCTGTGTGGCATCCACACACTGTGCATTATTGGTGCTGTCTGATGCTATTACTCCCTTGTTTGATCAGTGGATCATATGTGAGTGATGGCTCTTATCTCGGCTGCTGTAAGCCTGAGAGATAAAGTTCAGGACATTATGTGGGCTGTGTCCATGCGGCAGGTTAAAAAAAACTAAGCCTCTGCAGAAACCATCCACACTTCCACCAAACCCATGGTTGACTCTGTGCCATCATCTCTCGATAATAATATGTGACGATATTTCTCGACGAGTTAAAGATTCTCTTGTGATATCAGTACATAGACGCAGAGCAGCCCTAGTTTGGAGTGGATATTAAAATACCCACGTATAAAGCTCCCCCCCCCCACCTCCACTATGACGCATGGTCTTCTACTGTAGATTGCAATCAGTCTCCACAGCATCCAGACCACAAGTCACAATCAAACCATGTAATTTCATCAACTATTTAGATTCTTTATCCATATTTACAGCCCAAATAAATCAATGATAAATAAGGAAAACCTACAGTAAAAAAGGGTGCAAATGCCTCCACGCTTAAGGACAATGACCAGAGTGACTAATCGCTTACAACGGCCTCTCTTTGAGATTGTCACTGACTATATTTTTCTCCATCCTCAGGCACCATTCCCGCTGGTTTAATTTGAGCCTCTCTTTGCCCTCTTGTGTGCGAGTGCTTCAGGCAATAACACAAAACATTCATGGTGTAGTTTTTTTGTGCTTTGGAAAGGAAGCTTGTGCCTGGAAAAATTGTGGGAATCATTCGAACATGCATGGCTAACGGATACATCCGTGATCCACAAACAGTGATACAGATTTGTATGCACAGACGCACAAACATTCTGCAGCTGTTTTAACAGAGATCCAGTGTAATATAAAGAAAACGACGCACTTCATTTAAGAGCAATGACTTGGATGAGATAACAGGCTTGCACGTGACATTCGTACAGTCGGTGTGATGGGGTGAAGGAGAAATGGAGCATGGCTATATTTGTGTTTGCATCTGTCTATTCTGACATCTGTGTGCATGTGTGTTGTATTACAGTTGGGACGGCTGGATAAGTGGCTCAGAGTAGTTCACTGCCAGAGCATATTCATTTCAAAGCCAACTCTGAGACACACACCAGGGAAGTGGGAGCAGGGAGGCTTACTGGCTAATCTGGTCAGAGAGCGAGCTGGAAGCAACACAGAATTCTTAATGTAGCGGATGAGAAAAAAAAAAAAAAATCTAATTAGTGACTGCGGCCACAGAAACACTTCCCCATGTGCATGTGGAAGTGTGAGCGAGAAAAAAGATGAGAAGAACTGGAGTGTCTGTATGTTGCATGTGTTTCTATCTAGAGATGCAGTGTTTTAAATCTCCAGGTCAATCCCGCTTCTTCTCTCCCAACCCTGCCAGTGTGATTTCTCACTCTGACACCTGAGCGCGGTCTCTCTCTCTCTCTCTCTCTCTTACACTTGGATGTCAAGCATGATCCTCTTGTCCTCTTCCACATGGATGCCCCAGATGCAGTCCTGTCCCTTGTCGTAGGCCTCGGGCCAATTAGGAGACAACACCACACCAGCAGAGTCTGTGATCTCCCCGCTGCACACAGCTGCAACACAGAAACACCTCAGGGTGACACAAAGAAACAAATATATGTATAGTAAGGGATGTATTAGGGAAATATATAAAATCAGTATCATCAACAATCAACAGTTAGCAAACTTTTGTCCTAAACTAATAGCTGCTGTTCCATGAGGGTAGCCCTGAACGATGAATGTGACTTCATATTGTAGGATTGAACATATATACTTTATTGTGCCATTCAATATTGTTAGTGCATAACACACTTCCTGTTTCAAATTATCTTAATTCATTTTTCATGTACCTTTCTTAAAGGTGAAGTCAGTGTAATTGTTCATTACAGCTTGTAAGCACAACATTCAAACTGGGCCCCTCCTCCTGGGCATATCGCCACCTGAAGCGCACACTCACTGCAGGACTTCCCGTATAGGTTAACTGCTAGTATCTACACTGCAAGTAGCCTGAGAATATAACATTTGTTGTGATTGAAAAGCTGATTGTTTAGCAAAACACCTGCCTATCCAACAGAAAGCAGATCATGTCTGCGTCAGAAGGTGAAGATATACCTAACGTTCACCTAGTGTTTGAACGAGCTTTGTCACTATGTCACTATGGTTATATTTTCTATTCTTTGAAGCTACGTCCGCGCCTGTCATATTCAACGGTTTGAATCACATAGAAGCGGCAACCTGCGGTCTTGAAAAATGAAGCTAATGCGGAAGTGCAAAATCCTGCAGTTCGTCGAGTTGTCGGCTTGGGGCTGGCTCCAGGAACACCGGAATTCAAATACACACCACAGCCAAAAATCTGTTTTTACAGCATAAATAAACATGTTTACAGCCTGGTACAAAAAACGAAATAGGTCTAGATTAGGGCTGGGCACGTTAATGCATTATTTTCGCATTAATGAGTTAACGCGACAATTATTTTATCTCGCTTTAACGCAGTTTTTATTATTTATTTTCGTATTGTAAAAGTCTGTTGCTCACTGGCTTTTATTTTGTAAAATTCCATCGTGAGCGAGCCTAGTATGTTGCTTACTGCTGCGCATGACTACTGCTGACAGGGTCTGTACAGACAGTCACTAACACACATGTATGTAGGTTATACATGTAAGTGATGATTGAGCGGTATTACTTTTGTATAAGTCTATATTTTATTTATTAGGAAAAAGCTACTGACTCTGCCTTCAACCCTCACCCATACAAAATAAATAAGTAAATCAATCAATACCTTGGAACCTTGGTCTTTAATAACACACAGCTGAAATCAAGTGTGCAGAACCACTTCACATGAACCTTGTAAAACTGCTTACTACTATTGAACCACTCCGTGACCATGACCCCACGGAGCAGAAATTAAATTTCCTCATATGTAGCTTTACTAGAGAGCTTTTCAATTTCATTGTGTTCCAGATAGACCATGATGTAAGCAACAAAGAGCCGGAGCGAGGTCAGCGTGTCGTGTGTGTGGGGAGAGTGTGAGATTTTAAGAGAAGTGAAAGGGCTGAGGAGGAGCTATTTAGTGTGGTGGGTACTCTGCAGTGTGGCAGTGCTCAACTTTTGTATGCCTTTTAATCTCCAGCACTTCTTAAAATCTGCCCTGCAAGCACACATGTCAGAGTAAATCATTGTTGCAATTTCAAGAGGAAATTTATCATGGATCAGAGGAAAAGCAGCTTAGGGAGATATAGTTAACTGCCAGTGGTCTTTAATATTTGAGTAAAAAGACTTCCCTGACTCCTGCAGTGATCAAGAAGACAATGAAAGCTTCAGGTCCTGAGGTCACTCAAAACTAATTCTAAAGTCTGCTGCGGTGCAAGCACATAAAAAAAAAGAAAAAAAAAAAAGATTTAATGTCACACAATCGCTCGTGCAGATGAAATCTGTTGACTCACCCCTACAGGCCGGCTCGGTCTCATTCCACTGGGCATTTTGAGCGTCCACACACTCAATCACCACAGAGCCTTGCTCCAGCGTGTAGCCGGGGTCGCAGGAGAATTCAACCACCGCCCCCATGCCGTAAGTGGAGTCACTGCTGCTGAAGTTGCCGTACTTCACGAACGGCTCGTAGCACATTCCTTTTGCAAAAGCTGTGGACCGAAACAGAACGTGGTATCAACAAAAAATATATATTTTCACTAGGTGCAGTAAGCTTTTAGCAAACTAAATGATCAACCTGCCTTCATATCGGATGGCTGCACCGGTGGAGGTCATTGTCCCGTCCGTGGTGAACTCCACGAAGAGATATCGCCCAGTACTGAGCACGCCTTCGTTGGGCAAATATTCCACCTCATAAGAGTCGTACACAGGGGGAGAGTCTATGTTGTTGCCATCCTTTATCAGCAGCCTGGTAAATAGAGACACAAGGCAGCCCAATATTAGTGACAAGCTAATCAAGCATTTAAGCAAAAAACAATAACCTGATAACAGCTTATTGTATCCAATGCTACTGCCCACAATTTATATAATTTTTATTTAATTTGTTTACTTTGGTTTGTACCATTTTATTGTTTAGAAAAACGCTGGCTTTGCACTCGATTGCGTTTGCATGAAGCTGAGAATAGAAGCACTGCAAGTCCGTCCTGTCTCTATGACAACATTCTGTTGTCCATGACCGAAACTACTCCGGTGCTTATTACTGCATGTTTTACATTTGAGATAGTTTTTTCCTAAGGCAAAGAGAATGTGGGTGTAACAAGACACAATCCGTGGGAAATACTGGGAGTATCTTATATTATTGCTGCAGATGCTCTCTCTCCTCATTGGAAACAGTTGAAAGAATACGCTGGCGCTCAGAAAACAATTCTATGTGGACACAGGGCCTTGAGTTGGTATGTAATTCAAGTGGGCCTTTAAAGGTAAAAGAAGTATTTAAAAAAAAGAAGCTGAGAAGCAATTTGGAGCTGATCATTGTTCCAGTTGTGGCTGTCATAACTTTATGATAACATTCTCCACCACTCTGTAATGAGTTGAATATCCAAGTGTGAAAATAATCGTGTGGATCAGCAGTTCCTGAAGAATAAGAAATGTAATGCAATAGCTTTCTCCTTCCTCTCACTACCCTCTGTAGTCCCTTTAATTCACTCGCCTGATGGAGCACTGTTAAAGGATTATAATGATAAAAGGTCCTTTCAAATTCATCTGCCACTCCCTAAAGATTCTGGTTATTTATAGCCTTTGAGGGCTTCAAGAGTCTATCCATGGGCATAGTTTAATTCAGAGAATGACTTTAAAGCTGTGTCAACTATTCACTGAAGATTAGAAATTCACCTTCCTCTTAACTCTCAATGTGTGTGTTTAAGTTTAGCAGCGAGCATACACCACCTGTCATCGTCTTCCGCCAGAGCCACCTTCTCAAAGTGAACGTGAAGCCGGTGGCCTTCAGGGGCCTCCAGGACCCAGTGGCATGTCAAATTGTTGCTGTAGTTGCCAGGGAAACCAGGGGAGACGATGCGCCCATAGGTGGCATTTTTTATCATCCCCCCACAGGATGCTATAGGAGAAGAAAGACATGCAGTGGGGGAGAAGAGAGGATGACAACAACAAAAAAAAAGAGTTGGAGGGTGAGACTAGATGAGGAAAAGTAATGACAGAAACTTTCTTATAGAAGGGCTTTGGATAGAAGTCCCCGTCTGAGCTGAGATTGCATCGATATCCAGTGGACTGTGGCTGGAATACACTCGGCAGCTCACCTGGGTCTAAGAGTGTGTGACTGTGTGTGATGGACTTGTAAAGGGAACAGCAAAACAGCGGCAGTAACACTATCAGTTCAGAGCAGCTGCAGGCAGACACGGAGGACGGCTGGAGCTGGCAGATGAGCCTTTATACCAGCAGGAAGAGGAGAGTCATGCGGCCGAGTTCTAATTAAGGCAGCCAGGTCCAATAGCCTTGTTTTGCCCCTGTCTCCAAAGAAAAGCTCCCTGTGCTGCTAATCACCAGCAAACACACTCATTTGGCCTCAGAGTGTAACTAATCAACTCACCAGGAGACAACTTAGTGAAGGGATGCGTTAATCAAAATCACCTGTATTGTAAAGGGAAAGCTGCAGACAAGAATTTTCAAGTTTAAAAAAAAAAAAAAATGCACAAAAATCTTCTACGTCTTCTAGATACGGAAACAGACTGAAAATCCCCCAAAATTGAGCTATTTCCAGAACTTAAAGCAAAGCTACTGTGATGAATTGTCTTTCTGTGTCAAGCTTAGCTTGGATCCAATGACCAAAGTGGTTCTTCTTCCTTCTTTGCTGGTCTTTTCCTGTACATGTACATGTACATGTGCATGAGCTGAACATTTGTCTAGGAGTGTGCAAGATGATGGTGAGTGCAACTATCTTACAGCAGTGTGCAAAGTAGACGGACAACACTGGGGTCTGTTGTGCACTGATGAATAAATAACATAATGTATAATGTTCGATGACTATCAGGCTGGATGAGAGTCTGTTTTTATGGAGGGGGTGGGATATCATTGATGAGACTGGCATCACAGGGGAAGAAGCTGATAACTGGAAAACTTACTAGCCTACCAGTCTACCAGCCCCCCTAATGTAATGGTAGGGGAAACACTGAAATGGATACTTTCCTGCTTCCAGAGTTAAGGAGGATCATGTGTCAGGCAAAGAGCTAGTTTGTCTTACCCACACATCGAGGCTCCTTTCCGCTCCAGTAAGGTGTGGTTGCATTGCGACAGGTGAGCATCTTGGGGCCTTGTAACTTGTAGCCAGTGAAGCAGCTGAAGTACGCTTCTCCGCCGGCGTGGAGGTGAGTCACTGAAACTTCTCCACCGGCTGGTTCTTTGGGGAATGAACAGCTAAGCACAAAGGCTGCAGAGGAAAGAAAAGGATGCTTCATTTAAAATAAATCACAGAATAAGTTATATAAATGTTCATGTTAGATATGTGGCATCTCTGTCTTTCAATATCAGCTCAAACTTAAATGCAGTGTTCTATAAGCAATTCTGTTTAAAAAAAGTTGCAGGACAAATATGCTGATTCGGGACTACTAATGTACTGTCATTAAAATGTGTTAAATGTGTCGTTGTTGATCTGCTTTTAATGTGTATTCTGTTATGGCCTATATGAGACAGAATAGCACTGTTAATTAATGTGCTAATTATCAGCTCTGTAATTAGAGTGCAAAAAAAACTGAAATCACAGATGATGAAAGACTCCATTAAAAAAACTCCTGTTGTAAATGTATATTCATCACGTTTTTTTCAATAATCTTGTCCCCTTCTGATGCCTTAGATGCTCACTGTTCAGTAAAAAAATATAACTATATGATTTTGGATACTTAATTATCCAGGATTCAACGTTCAATGCTGAACAAAAGTCCCAGCTATGGCCAAAACAAACAGCCAACAATGTAAACTGGCTGCACAACATACTCCTCTGTGTCCCGCATTGTGTATAACCCCCGCTGTGTTGTTTGATTGTTGACCATGTTGTCTCTCCTCCAAACCACCGCTGACCAGCAAAACATATTTAGACACAGAAGGGGGGAAAAAAACATTTGTATTTCTGTGATTTATGCAACAGAGTGAAGCACAATGTTTCAATTGTGTCTGCCTTCTCGTTTTCTCTCGTTTGCTATCACACACACACATTTAGAGATGCTTTATTACAAACCTTCAACTCAGTTTATAAACACTCCAGCACCTAATTAATGACAGTTTACCAGTCCATCCGGTATGTAAATGTACGCTCAGACATGTTTGCAGTACTGCGATAATTAACGTCACTGTGTGAAGCCAGGGAAAACACCTTGACAAATGAAAATCTTGCTGACTAATTTAGCATCATAGCACTGCTGTATTATGATAGCTGGAAGAAGAAAAGCCTCCGTTTTGGTTGTCAAATAGTCGTGATTCCAGCAGGTGAAGATCAATGTTCCTAACTTGCTTTGCATTGTTGTCCTGTCCCTTTTTTTAAATGAGCACTATAGGATGGTATAGTCCACATGGATAATGGAGTGAGCTAACCAAGACGGTAATGAACGCTATTAAACAACCGTCTCTTCCTGTCTAATAACCAGCACTGTTCTACCTCATTAGTGCGGGCAATTTAATGACCAGACTAAAACTTTTAAACTTCTTTAAATGTGTTAACAACAAAACAAGCAACTTAATTGGACCCACTATGGTGTGTGTTGCAGCAACAGTACGAGTGTGCAATGACAAAATTATCAAAACCTTTTAAAAGCTGCAACTTAACTCAGCCTCTGCAAATTGCAAGTTATGTTCAAGCTTAATGATGTGTGTGTGTGTGTGTGTGTGTGTGTGTGTGTGTGTGTGTGTGTGTGTGTGTGTGTGTGTGTGTGTGTGTGTGTGTGTGTGTGTGTGTGTGTGTGTGTGTGTGTGTGTGTGTGTGTGTGTGTGTGTGTGTGTGTGTGTGTGTGTGTGTGTGTGTGTGTGTGGTGTGTGTGTGTGTGTGTGTGTGTGTGTGTGTGTGTGTGTGTGTGTGTGTGTGTGTGTGTGTGTATGTGGTAAGCCTAAATAGGAGCTAATAGAAGGAGAAAACGACGAGGAAAGCGGAACACTAGACGGCCTGTCTGCATTGAAATTGGATTTGCAGTCTTAAAAGCCATTATGATGATAAAGGGGCAAGGGCTATGTAATGCACCTTAATGTATTTATGTTAATGAGATTAAGGTTTGGTGTTTGCAGGATTATGATGTGGACTTAACTGTCACACTTTCAGATGCACAGCTGTTGGCTGAAATGTTCTTGTGTTACCTGCTTGTTTATTTCTTCCTGCCTTATAACATAATATCTGGACATTGACTGCATCTTCCATCAAAACGTTATTCAATTCATTTGGATGAAGTAAAAGGGCAGACATGGCAATATGCTATTATTATTCAGTTTTAAAACTAGATTTGTTTCACTGTATGGCCTAACAATGGAAAAATTCTATTCCATTTATTCTATTCTATTTCAAAAGTTATTTCTTTAATTAGTGAAAACTGGGACTATTTTTTTTTTTTTCTGTAGTTTTTATATTCCTCTCTCAAGACTATGAAACACTGTCAGTAGAAGCACATGGCTTACTAGCTAGCTAGCTGGATAGCTAAAATGCTTACATACCATGTTGAAGTTCATTCCACCATGTTAGCCTTGTGATCCTAAAGGCACTCACCAAATGTTAGATTTTTTTAAAAACAAAAAAAACAACCCTAGCAGATTCTAAACAGACCGATAAAGTACACATCAAATGGTAAAAAGACTTAAATACAGGACCCATGATAAAACCACTCCAGCGCTGTCCTCTTTACATCATTCACTCGGAGTCACAGCTGCTGCCACATTGTAAGAAAGCGAAAGCTGACACTTGATAGACAGGTCTGTCGGTCCATGCATGAATACTCTTAATATTTTCATGTTCTGATGTCTCCTCATGCACAGATGCAGAGGAAGTGGAAGATAAGACCCTCTGCTGAAGGTCGTATTTGAAGTGCCTGCAGTTGGCCATGCATTTGTCAATGAAAGAAAACACTTTAGCAATGTTTCCAGCGTTACCTTGCAGCTAAATTGGATATTCAAACTGGTTTTCCTATAAATCTTGGAACTCAAACTCAAGGGAAAACAACCCTAAATGCATAATGGCCTTAAGAAGCCTGTAAAACTACCTCCCATCTACGATGTTTTAATCTTCTGACTTTGTCTTTAACACAAGCCACTGCTTTCCACCGAAATGAAACAGGCCTTTTTTCTTTGGCAGTAAATCAGTGAGCCACGGGGACGAGGTACACTGCCCCTGGGTCATCCATTCAATGCGTAGTTTATCACTAGCTCCAATGAACCTAGTTATTGCCATTATCATAGCAGCATTTACATCCCTATTGAGCTTGCAGTGGGAGAGCCAGAGGCAAAAATGTAGAGCCAATTCCTGGAGTATTAAATTACGTGCTGCCTCCATTCCAGTAGATGTGGTGCTGGGCCATAAAGTCTGATTGTTTTGCCATTACAAATAATAGATCCACAGTGCAGACAGCCAGGAAGATTAGCTGATGGTACTGTAGGGCCACAGGAAGCAAATGGGAAGCAAATTTCTGCAGTTATTGTTTCCTTGTAGAGAGGAGGGAATAGTCACAATGACAGTACTCAGGTAAACTCTTTAAGTTTTAAAACACTACTAAAACACTCTTGCTTCTATGTTTGTCTCCATGGTTACCACATATCAGCTACTCAGTTTTTTGAATAGCATTATATGTCAATAAAATAAGAGCCTGTTTTGTGAATCAGAGGTAGACTAACTATGCCAACTTGTTTGCTGTAATGTTAACTAGCAACCTGACTGAGGCGGAGCGATACACATTGTGAAAAATTCCTAGTGATGTTCTATATAGAGTATGCATTGACGTCACTTTTTCATCCTGACCACACCTCCTTACTGGGATGGAGCGGCAAAACAGGAGTAAAAAAGGTGCAGATCTGCTTACATTTAGGACATTTGGACTCGACAGAGATCCTAACTATTTACTAAAGACACATTGGACCGTGGACTTTTACATTTGGGCGGGATATCTGGTTTCTAGACTTCTATATGTACATGATTTCACAACCACGGCCTTAGCCTTCACAAAGCAGAACATGAAGACACACGATGGATGTGAAACTGAATAAACCTCATCGTCAGAGTGTAGAGAGATCCAGCTGTTTCTCCTTGTTTCAGGGATCTATTTGCTTGTTTATACTTTCACTTTCTGTAGTCGGTAAAAAGATCACTCTGTGTCAACCGCACAACAGAGGAATTCAGTTTATATGTACCACGGCTTCGCTCGAATTGAACACCTGACAAACTGTCTGCCTCCTGTTAATGTCTAATTTAATTCAATTTAATACATTTCTAATGTGATAACCACACACATTACAGCTCTAAACTTTAACATGATATTATATATATATATATATATATATATATATATATATATATATATATATAGAACCGTCAGAAACTTTCACCTATTGAAAATTACCCTGGCCATAAAGTAGAGTAGATAAATTAATGAAAACAAACTTTCAATGTAAAACCAGCTGTGTTAATCTGCCTTTGCAGGATTAATGTCCTCCCATCCTGAGTCATCATTGTTCGTTTACTGTTTGACTCATCTTCTAATTAATCAATTTAAGCTCTTAATTTTCCCTGATACAAACAGGTGAAAATGAGAGGAGGGAGAATGAAGGGGGGGGGGGGGGGGTTCAGATTATGTTCATCACTGATTGAGTGTCTAGACTCTGTGATGTTGACTGTTTACAGTGTGCGCTTCTGCAACGGCACAGCTTCTTCCTGTGGCTTTATTACCGTGTCGTTATGAATCCAAAGGTTTCTATATAAAACTTAACATCAGCTGAGGATCTATTTAGACCACAGAGAACACTGTCAAGGGCTCATTACAGAAAAGCTGATTTAAAGCTGTTTACTGCTAACTCCGCATGTATAGCTGTGCATTCTTTTTTTATTGCTTATTGAAATCATATTAAAATAATATGTGGATGGTAAGAATGACCACTTTGCCACTCTAGAATTTCCAGTCGTTTCATTATTCATAAAAAAAAAAACTCTACTGTAGTTATGGCCATTCTGATGAAACACTGTGGAAGGTGTCTAATAAATAGACGGTTTAATAAATAGTATTTCCTTCGGTGGAAAAAAAAAAACCCTCCTCGAATACATTTTCAAAATGAGCTTTACGAGGGCATCACAGGTCAGAACAATGAGCCATTACTGACAAAAATAATATTGTCTCTCTGACATCATTTCTAGATGACGTGTGTTTGACGTGGTTTCAAAATAGATGCCTATGAAAAGAAGAAAAAAAAATA